CAGAACTTCGGGACTGGAAAAAGAGAAATGAGGATAAGAGGCAGGAAGGCTAAGCTGCTGGAAGGATTCTAGAAGCATGGATCTGGAGGACAACAGGGCTAAGTAAAACTGATCAGGCAATATAGGGAAGACAGGAACAGAGCTGGGGGGATCTTGTTCCCCACAGTTGTGTGAAAAGATACAGCTGTTCTGGCTGAATCTGCTGGCACGTTTTTCAGGTTCTTGCATTCTCCCAGAAATCTCAGCTGCATGACATGACCGAGACCACTACAGAACCACAAGGCCTGTAATAAAAATCACTGGTCTGGGGTGCTTGAAAAATTACCACACTTGGAAGCAGGTGTATAGAGTAGATGTCCTCTAATTCCTTAGAACCCTATGCAGCACTACAGAAGGATTCACCATCTTTTCAACACTGTACTGAAAGTTCTTGCTTGAGACAGTTAGAGGCAATAAATGTACACAGATTGGAAAGGAAGACATTAAGCTGTGTTTGTCTGCAGATGACATTACTATGTAAAAAATCCTAATGAATCTATGAAAAAAGCTCCTGGAACTAATAAGTGATTATCACAAGGTTGCAGGATATAAGACCATTATAAAAAGTCAATTGCTTTCCTTGGTCCAGCAAAGAGCAAGTGGAATTTAAAATTAAAATCATAATACCGTTTACAATAGCAACCCCAAAATAAAATACTTAGGTATAAATATAACAAAATATGTACAAGATCTATATGAGGAAAACTACAAAACACTTATTACATAAATTAAAGAATTAAATAAATTGAGAGATAATCTATGTTCATGGGTAGAAAGACTCAATGCTGTCAAGAAGTCAGTTCTTCCCACTTTGATCTCTGGATTCAGTACAATCCCAATCAAAACCTCAGAAAGTTATTTTGTGGATATTGACAAATGGATTCTGAAGTTTATGTAGAGAGGCGAAAGACCCAGAAGAGCCAAGACAATTTTGAAGGAGAAGAACAAAGTTGGAGACTGAAACTACCTGAGTTCAAGACTTACTGTATATCTATAGTGATCAAGACGGTGCAGTATTGGCAAAAGAAGAGAAAAAAGTAGATCAATAGAACAGAATAGAGAGCCAAGAAACAGATCTATGTAAACATAGACAAAGGGACAAACATAATACAATGAAGCAAAAACAGTCATTTCAACTAATGGTGCTGGAACAATTGGATCTCTATATGCAAAAAATTTGCATCTAAATAAAGATTTTACTCCATTCACAAAACTTAAGGCTCACAGACCTACACATAAACTGTAAAACCATGAAACTACTAGAAGATAACAGCAGAAAATCTAGATGATCTTGGGTATGGTGATGTCTTTTTAGATACAACAGTGAAGACAATCGCTGAAAGAAATCATTGATAAGCTGGACTTCATTAAAGTTAAAAATTTCATCTATGTAAAATATAATGATAAAAAATTAGAAAACAGGACACAGACTTGGAGAAAATACCTGCAAAAGACACATCTGATAAAGTATTATAATCTAAAACATACAAAGATCTCTTAAAATGCAACAATAAGAAAAAAAACCTCATTAAAACATTGACCAAAGACCTTGATAAACACATCGTCAAAGAAGAAATACAGATGGCAATTATGCATCTCAAAAGATGTTCCATGTCATATGATAACAGGGAAATGCAAATTAATATGAGATACAACTATATACCTGCTCAGTTCAGTTCAGTTGCTCAGTTGCGTCCGACTTTTTGCGACCCCATGAACCGCAGCACACCGGGCATCCCTGTCCATTACCGACTCCCGGAGTCCACACAAACCCACGTCCATCGAGTCGGTGATGCCATCCATCCATCTCATCCTCTGTCATCCCCTTCTCCTCCTGCCCTCAATCTTTCCCAGCATCAGGGTCTTTTCCAATGAGCTAGCTCTTCGCATCAGGTGGCCAAAGTATTGAAGTTTCAGCTTCACCATTAGTCCTTCCAATGAACATCCAGGGTTGATCTCCTTCAGGATGGACTGGCTGGATCTCCTTGCAGTCCAAGGGACTCCCAAGAGTCTTCTCCAACACCACAGTTCAAAAGCATCAATTCTTCAGTGCTCAGCTCTCCTCACAGTCCAACTCTCACATCCATACATGACTACTGGAAAAATCATAGCCTTGATTAGACGGACCTTTGTTGACAAAGTAATGTCTCTGCTTTTTAAGATGCTATCTAGGTTGGTCATAACTTTCCTTCCAAGGAGTAAGTGTCTTTTAATTTCATGGCTGCAGTCACCATCTGCAGTGATTTTGGAGCCCAAAGAAATCAAGTCACCACTGTTTCCACTGTTTCCCCATCTATTTGCCAAGAAGTGATGGGACCGGATGCCATGATCTTAGTTTTCTGAATGTTAAGCTTTAAGCCAACTTTTTCACTCTCCTCTTTCACTTTCATCAAGAGGCTCTTTAGTTCTTCTTCACTTTCTGCCATAAGGGTGGTGTCATCTGCATATCTGAGGTTATTGATATTTCTCCCGGCAATCTTGATTCCAGCTTGTGCTTCCTCCAGCCTAGCGTTTCTCATGATGTACTCTACATATAAGTTAAATAAGCGGGGTGACAATATACAGCCTTGAGGTACTTCTTTTCCTATTTGGAATCAGTCTATTGTTCCATATCTAGTTCTAACTGTTGCTTCCTGACCTGCATACAGGTTTCTCAAGAGGCAGGTCAGGTGGTCTGGTATTCCCATCTCTTTCAGGATTTTCCACAGTTTATGGTGATCCATATAGTCAAAGGCTTTGAATAGTCAATAAAGCAGAAATAGATGTTTTTCTGGAATTCTCTTGCTTTTTCGATGACCCAGTGGTTGTTGGCAATTTGATCTCTGGTTCTCCTGCCTTTTCTAAAACCAGCTTGAACATCTGGAAGTTCACGGTTCACGTATTGCTGAAGCCTGGCTTGGAGAATTTTAGCATTACTTTACTAGCATGTAAGATGAGTTCAATTGTGTGGTAGTTTGAGCATTCTTTGGCATTGCCTTTCTTTGGGACTGGCATGAAAACTGACCTTTTCCAGTCCTGTAGCCACATATACCTGTTAAAATGGCCAAAACCGAGAATATTGACAGCATTCTCACCAAATACTGGTGAGAATGTGGAGCAACAGGAATGCTCATTCAATGATTTTGGGGATGCAAAATGTTACAGTCACTTTGGAAGACAGTTTGGTGGTTTCATATAAAAGGAAACATATTCTCACCACATGACCCAGAACTCATGCTCATTGTCATTTAGCCACAAGAGCTGAAAACTTATCTCCACAGAAAAATCTACACTTGGATATCTGTCACAAATTTTATTCATAATTGCCAAAATTTGGAAGCAACAAGGATGGTCCTTCAGTAGGTGAATGGATAGATAAGCTGTGATACATCCAGACAATGGAATATATTTCAGTGCTAAAAATAAATAAGTTATCCAGTCATGAAAAAGACAAGGAGAAAACTTAAATGCATATTATTAAGCAAAAGAAATCAACCTGAGAATGCTACAAACTGTGTAATTCCAAGTATATGACATTCTGGAAAAGGCAGAGCTAAGGAGACCTTACAAAGATAAGGATTATAGGGATAGGAAGGGGTGGGGGGAGAAACGAATAAGCAGAACACAGTGGATTTTAGGTCAGTGAAAAATTATATGATATTATAATGCCCAATATGTCATTATATATTTCTCTAAACCTATAGACTTTATAACACCAAGATTGAACCCTAAGGTAAACTATGGGCTCTGAGTGATTATGATGATGATTATTATGATTATGATTAGGATTATCATCCTTGGTAATAAATATGTTCATTTTGGTGAGCTATGCTGATAATGGGGAAGGCTATGCATGTGTGGAGGCAGGGGTATATATGAGAATCTCTATATTCCACTGAATTTTGCTTTAAACCTAAAATTACTCTAAAAAATTGCCTTTAAATATTCACATGCATTGGTATATTCAGCATAACTGAAAAGAACCTTCAATATACAGTCTACTTCAGTGAAGATGGACAAACCCATGGTCTAACCCTGTCAATTATTTCTTGTGTACAATTATAACTTGCATAGCTCAGTTGGTAAAGAATCTGCCAGCAATGCAGGAGAGCCCAGTTCGATCCCTGGGTTGGGAAGATCCACTAGAGAAGGGATAGGCTACCCACTCCAGTATTCTTGGGCTTCCCTTGTAGCTCAGCTGGTAAAGAATTTTCCCACAATGCAGGAGACCTGGGTTCGATCCCTGGGTTGGGATGATCCCCCGGAGAAGGGAAAGGTTACCCACTTCAGTATTCTGGCCTGGAGAATTCCATGGACTGCATAGTCCATGGGGTCACAAAGAGTCAGACATGACTGAGCAAATTTCACTTCACTTCAGGGAGGTGGAAAAAAATCTACATATACATATGCTCCTCCTGCAAGGTTTTCAGTTGGCACTGACCAGTGAGAACGACTGTGCTAACCTGTAAGTTGCTGGTGAGGAAACGGCTCTTCTGTGTCCCTGGCCCACACACTGTGAATTCTACATACAAGTTTATTTTTAAAAGGTTTGTTAAAAAATAATGCATTACACAATGAATGAAAGAACCAGATGTGTGAGCCACATTCATAGTATTTGTGGTCAGATCTATAATCGAGCTATTTTCAGGGTGTTTTGAAGCTAGTGCTAAGCATATGGTTGTCCTAACCCAGGGCCTGTGTACTTGTCCTTTTTTTCATTAAGAACCTAGTCAGGAGAGGGAGATGCCAGGATAATTAACAAATATGAGATTGTGGCTATGGGTTTAGCACAAACCTCACATTCTTCTCATTCCTCTTCCAAATAGACCCCTTAGGAAGAGTTTGGTTAATTCAACAGTACACCTCATCAGAATATTTTAAAATGTACTCTTTGGGAACTAACCCACATATATAAACATACATGATATCAAAAAAGATTCAGCCTCAGATGTCTCTTAATATCACACATTAGCAAAGAATGCTGTTAGCACTCAGAAAATTGTATGTCTCCAAATTCTAAATTCCAGGAATAATTTGCTGTTCTGTTGGTAGCAACTACAATGAGCCTTCCTAAGTCATTTATATAGAGACAATCCTTAGTATGAAGAATAATACGGAAAAGAAAGTATTATTAGACAGGTTTAATTTTAATTATACTATTGTGAAAAGTGGGCTAAATATGTAATTTACATGACTCTAAGGATGCTAATTCCTCTTACTAATCTATCTTTCATTCCCTATTGTATTCTCTTAATTTAAAATAATGAATTGTTTGAAAACTATAGAAAATCATAGGAAAATTATATCACAGCCATTTGTATATTCAACATCAAGATGAGGAAAGACATTTACATTCTGCCAAATGGCTTCAGCTCTCCTGTTTGTTTTAACATAAAGATCATTGTATAGATTCTGCAAAATACCTCCCTCCATATCTCTTCCTTCTAATTCCTCTCTTTCTAGAAATACCTGGTTTCCTATGGCTGAGGTGTTTATCATTCATTGTTTTATACTTTTATACTAATGTTTATGCCACCTCCAAATTATGTTTCCATTGGACTGTACAAATATAGGTCTTGCATTTTAATGACAATAGACTACTCCAACATATGAACAAATCAGTTTATTCATCTGTTTTTACTGTGAATCAGTTAGTCTGCTTCAAGTTTCTACCCTCACAACACTTATACAATGCATACTATTGCAGCATATATTTTGTGGATGTGTGAGAGTTCCTCCAGAGAACACACTTAAGGAAATTTTGAAACTGCTGGGTTATCAGGTATGTTTATTTTTATCTTTACTAGATATTGACAATTTACTCTCTAATGATTGTGTCAATTTATTCTCCTATTAACAATGCATAAAGTTTCCTATTTCCACATAATTTTCCCCAAATTCTGTTTTATTAGGTTTGTAAATTTCTATTAATTTGATGGATGAACTATTATATCAGAGTGATTCTAACTGATATTTATTGTTCTTGTTCAAAATTCCAGTTTGTCTTTACATTTTTACAGATGATTTTAATATGCTAAACTTGCTTTATATATAAATGTATATATACAAAATCATTAATACATATATATGTATATGTGTGTTTCTGTATGAAATGTATTCCATCTTATTTTGTGCTATTCATTTACTATAATTTTTCTTTGTTTCAATTTTGCCTCAATTTTGTATTTCTATTGGATTATCTTTTCTTTAGTTGCTTTGTTCCCATTCACTAATTTAAAAGTTCTATATTCTTTATATATATGCATATACACATGTGTGTATGTGTATATATATATGTATTTATATATACATATACCTATGTCTATACACTGAAGTGTGCACACTTATCTAAAGCTAAAATTAATCACATTATTATTTTCCTCCTAAAGGATGTATTCATGGATGCTTTACCTCTCATCAATCTCCCAGTCTCCTTGCAATCATTTTGGATAACTTCAGTTTGCTTTTATATCATAAAATAAGTTAAATATACTCTTGATTAAAAAAATAATTCACATATATTAAAATAATGGTTACTAGTTTACTTGTTTCCCTTTTTATTCTTGCATTCTGCTTCATTCACTTATCTTACAAAGTTATTATTTCTAAAGTGCATCCATTTAGAAATTGTTTCCATAAGAGTTTGTGAGTGGGAAATGCTCTCAGACTTTATTTTTCTAAAAAAGTATATAATTCTCCTTCACTTTATCCTAACCCCTTCTTTTTTTGTTACTTTTTAAAAAATTCCCTGAATGCAATATTCTCTCATATCTTTGAGGACATTAATGACAGTTTCTTTTTTATTTTTTTCCTCTATAGTCTCTCTTTTCTCCAAGTTGATTTCTTTTCTTTATTCTGGTGACAGTGTTCCTTACTAAAGGATCTACTCAATGCCTGGTGATCCTTCATTCTCATAATTAAGAGAAGACTGGAAAGCTATGCAGAGGATAGAAGTACTCATGGGGGAGGGCAGGGTGGTGACACCAATTTCACGCCGGGTGATCTGGGTGACGAGGCTGGAGATTAGCCCCCTACCTAGTGGACCTTCAAGCATCTCCTCTTGGGTTAGCTAAGAGGTCTAGGGGGAAATCTCCTCATTGTATGCCTTGGTAAGGACACAGCTTCCAGGATTCCAGAAGCCAGGTTGGGAGGGGGCTAGGGACTCAGATTCGTCATTCACATACATGCCCCTTTCCTTCCCGTGATTGTACCTGGAACCTCTACTTCAGAGACCATCCACTCTGGTATCCTTGGAGAATAAACCCCCAGCCTTCATCTGGATTGAGGATGAGTTAGAGATCAGAGTTAAAGGAAGAGAAAGGACATTATCACACAGATTCTACCAAATCTTCATTTTCTTAGCCATTCTTCATTCACTTTCAGTTTCAGAAGTACGTGGTGTGTATTTGTCCTATCCCTTGCAGGTTGCTGGATTTTTTTTTTCTTTTCTATTTTACACAGCATAAGGCCTGTAAAAGAGACTGGATCTATGAAAGGACCTTAGTGTAAACTCCCTGTTTCTCACAAACCTGGGTCCCTTCAACCTTTCCATTAGAGACTTCAAAAGCCAAAACTGACCCTTGCTCTCTGCCTCATAGCTGCCTCCTCCATCCCTCCCTCTGATGGACAAAGCAACAATTCACTCACTGCTCTTAATTTCATTTTCCTCTTCATTTCTGGATGAAATTCTCAGTCATTTAACTTTTAAGAGTTTATCTATGTATTGCAAATATTTAAGCATTTTTGTTCGATTTTATCTAGCTATTGAAAGTCTAGATGAATTTAATAGTTAACTGTTAGTATGTTGCCTTCCTAGAAACATGTCTCTCCATCCACCTAATATAATGATGACCATTCGTTGAGCGCCAACTGGGGGGCCAGAACATCATCCACATACTATTCCTATGACCTGGTAGAGCTAGGATTTAAAGCCAGGTCTGTCCATCTCCTAAGCCCACTTATAGTAAATCATACAATCTTCCATGATCAATAATAAAACCAATAGAGACGTGTCAGCTGCTTTCAGGGGAAGGAAATGCAAATCCATGTGTGTGCATGCTTGTACGTATAGGCTGAGGTGTGGGCAGAGAGCATCTAAGACATGGTGCTGTCATGACACTTGGTTCACACAGTGCTACTTGCCACAGATTCTCTTTCTTTTTCTTGGCTCATTCAACAGTGTCTAATAAATACCTTATTTCCCTTCTCACTGACTTTCTATTTATTCCCTACTTTCTGCTGAAAATGCCTATTGTGTTCAAGCAGATGAATGTCACAGCAGGCACTCTGCCCTGTAACATCAAGGACTGTGAACAAGAATTCTACTTTGAAGTGAAAAAGTAGTGGGGACGGGGAAGATAAGGAGGTTATGGAGAGACAACACAGAAAATACACACGCGTGTGAATCTATAATTTCCCAAGAAAAGCTACAATCTGTGTAATATTGTAGTTTTGCTGAATAAATTGTTGTTAACAGCAAAGCACCTCTATATATCCTTCAAAGGAAGAAACATCATTTTAAGTATGTTCTTATTGTAAGAGCCTATAGATGCAGAATAGCCAGCTAGCAAATGTGTGTTGTGCTGAAAGGATTACCCACTGGGGAACTATAAGTTCATGCTAATATTGTCTATTTTATCACATTTCCATCAGGGATGTGGTCTCAGGGAAGCACCTTGTTATATTCTTTAGCTATAGTGAATCACAGATTTTAGTTCTCCAAAATATCCTGGCTCCCCTCTCCACCTTGTATGGAATAATCAAAATCATTTCTTGATATCAGGATCTGCCTTTTACACTTTTACTGCATTTATCAGGGCGCCCAGCTCAGTGACTTGTACATGGTAGCAACACAGTATGTACATTATTAACGACATGGAGTTTTTGCCTCTTTGGGAAAAATAGATGCACACAAGCCCTTGACTATACAGCAGCTGGCCTAACAGATGGGGCTGCAGCCAGGGCAGACAGCAGACAGGTACCAGGAGGTCCTAGAGGAATCTACATTAAATGGTCCCTTCTCCAGCCTCAAAGGATGATTACGAACACCGAAGACTAAGGTTCTTCATAAGACTGCTATTCTTTTTTTTTTCCATTTATTTTTATTAGTTGGAGGCTAATTACTTTACATCATTGCAGTGGTTTTTGTCATACATTGAAATGAATTAGCCATGGATTTACATGTATTCCCTATCCCGGTCCCCCCTCCCACCTCCCTCTCCACCCCATCCCTCTGGGTCTTCCCAGTGCACCAGGCCTGAGCACTTGTCTCATGCATCCAACCTGGGCTGGTGACATAAGACTGCTATTCTTTTGTGATTCAGCTAAGTGTCACCGCTTTTAGAAACTGGCCATGGAGATTTGAACCAAGAGAGGGTCCCCTTCCTTCTCCCTCTTTCTAGTTATACTGTTTTCACATTTGCTTTGAACTGATACGAATTTGTACTCATTTTATTTAATTGTCTTTTTAGTTGTTTTTTTGACTGTCTTTTTTTCTAGACTGTAGGCACGATGAAGTCAGGGATCAGGTCGTTTCCACATATTCCAAACAGGAGTAGTGACTTGCTGATTTTTTAAATGAGCACATCATTCAACAAAGCACTCTTCCTTCTTCCTCTTCTTTAATCCGGAAATGAGAACTGTCATTCAGAACACTGAGCAGCCACTTAACTTGGCACCACTCACTTCCACGCTTAGCACAAGCTTTCCAGGCTGAACATCCCAGGAATCGTGTTTCAGAGAGCTGCGGAACCCTTCAGCAGTTGAAATGCTCTTTCCGTGTAAAAATCCTCCTGTGCGCTCTCTACTGCTCAGCAGCAGTTGAGAAGCAAGTCACTTGTGCAAACTCTGAAAGGCTATTGATAAAAGAAAAGGGATGACATTTGCTTCTGGCAGTTTTACTCAAAGGTATGCGCCTGGAAGTCAGAGAAAGATATGAGCCGTGGGAAGTATGCGAGATCTCTGAAAAGAATGCAGGAAAAGGATCTTCACGGGGTAGAAGCACTTTTCCACTCTGCTTGGCAAGAAAGGGCAACTCGGAGGCTGAAAGGAGAGTGAATGGGCAAGGCCAGGAGAGAGACTGAAGCACACTGACTCTCATCACTCGTGTGTCGTGACCTTGAGCCCTATCAGAGCTGCAGTGTGAGTTACAGTCCAGTGGGAAATAGAGCTAAGGCCAGGAATCATTGCAAACGCTTGCGATGATGGTTTAATGAAGGAGTCAAACAGGATGTGGATAGACAAATCTGATCAAGTGCATATCTAGTTTGGCAACAGATATATAAAAACAGATAAATAAAATATTTCTAGGAAGGATATTAATTGAAGGAAATGAAGAAAACTGTCTTATATGTTATTATATTTCAGCTGAGAGTTCAAGGAAAAATTCACCCAAGAAATCAGCTGACTCCTAATCAGAGTTCTAATGCAGCCATTTATAGCTCTTCATGCTGCTTCATCACCCAGGTAATTACCCTTCATCAACCTAAAATTCTCCAGTACTTTCAGTTGGAGAAGCTAGTCTTCATTTTCCTATGTTAGAAGTCAGTTGCAAACTGTTATTGACCCAGATCTGCTGTCATCTTTCACTTGAGTGCAGATGCACATGCAAGAGAATCCTTTACATTATTTACAGTTGTTTTCATGAAAACTTAAAACCAGTACTTAGCCTATGGATGGATAAATGGGAATACAGAATACATGGATGGATAGAGAGGAAGCTGTATTATAAATAAGTAAATAAATTAATGAGTGTTGTATAAGAATAACTTCATTTATCACATTTATTCATTAACAAACATTGAAAGTAAAATATTATTAGTTTTAACTATGGTCAATGTATCAGACCCGGGTTTAATTAGAAACTCAAAACCTCTTGGGCAATTACAGAGTTGAAGAGGAGATTGTAGGAACTGGTTAATTAGTTTATGTATGACAATTGTTTTTGTTTATGGTGCTGGGCCCTAAAGTCCATACGTCAGGGAGTCTGAAAGGAAAGATGGGAATGAAGCTCTAGAGAGAAAGGACGAACAGGAGCTGTGAGATGGCATAGAACCCTTGACAATAAAGGAACCCTCATCAATTTCTCACTGACTCTAAGCATTTGGTTTTGATGATGTGAGCTGCTTACACAAAATGGTGCCTTTCTTCATGAATTCAAATGTGTACCTGACCCAGGAGTTACAGAAGAAGTCGCTGGAGGCTGTGTGCCTAGTGATTTACTGTTGTCAACAAGGTGAGTCAGCAGACCTACAACAATATGTGTTCATTTAAATAGCACCTGAAACTACACTCACCTTCTGAACATAAAAATAGTTTGCAGAAATGTCTTTGGTGGTAAATTCATTAACCACATACAGAGAATTCTGGTAATGAAATGATGACACCTAGAGTAAAGCCTTGGTGAGAGAGGTATGGGGAAGGGCTTGAGCAATGTATCTTGGTAGGTGCTGAGCCTCTGATTCCTATTTGTCTCAGCCAGGAGTGTTCTTTTTTTAATAATATGTGTGCCAACACACCTTTTTCCCTGCTTAAGCCAACTTGTCTTGAATTTCTTCTCCTTATAACTTGAAGAGATCTGGTCAGTGCATATTCTGCATGATAGGCTGGAGTTAGTAGGTGTGGGAGGTAATGGGGGAAGGTAATTTAATTATGATAATCAGTGTCTAATGTATTTACATGCTCAAAACAATGAATTAATGAATAAATGAGGGGTTCAAAAATGAGAAACATGGTGTGTATATGTGGAAAGTACAAGGTGATTCATATTGACTTTTCCCCAGAAAATCCTATTTGCATGAAAAGAGCCTCCAAATGAGTCGAGCTTCATTACAGTTTCAAAATAGACTTTATGGCACAGTTCGCCCATCACTTATCCTCATAATGATTTACAAAAATTTCCAACAGTACTAGGACCGAGGCATCTGGCATCCAGTTTACATCTCTGTTCTCCTTTGAATGTTAGCAAAGTGCTGAGCATCATTGTGGACCAGTAATTATATAAATCAAGTTAAATTAATCTAATGAAATAATTCAGAAGTTAAAATTGATTCCTCTTATGCTATCAGATCTGGGATTCCAGGATTCTAGAAGGCTGGGAGAAAAATGAAGTCCCAGAAATTACTGAGTTCTTATATTTATTTATTTTCCTGAATTCAATTTCTCTCTTCTTAAATGCTAGTGTTTAGTCAGGCTTCCTTATGTTCCCTAATGAAACCGTCTGGAGTCACACTCTCTAGCAGTTCTGACCATTTGTGTTTCACTCTGGTAATTCATTAGAGAAAAGGAAGATCTCTCAATGTACTCTCTTGAAAGGCTGAAAGAGAAAAAATTCTTACCACCCTGTAGCAGGTGCTGCCCACCCCGATTCTAGTTTTGCTGGCTAGGGAACACATTTAATTACCTTGCAGTCCCTGTTTCTAAAAAAGAGAAAGAAAGTGGCTTTGAATAGGGAGATAAGTGAAGAGATTTTTATTGAAGGTACAGACCAACTGCATGTGGTTGGAAGTCCAAGTATGCAGGAGCCCAGGGCCGACAGCTTTTCTCAGGCCTGCTTAAAGGCGACCCTCCACGTCAAGGAGCCAGGGAAAAAAAACCACTTTTTTGCTACACTACACATGTGGTTCTTCACTATGACTTTTTTTGTGTGGCTATTTACATTAATTTTCTCTGATGTCTCAGTTAAGTGCACATACTGAAAACTTCATTTATAGTGGCTTAAGCAAGTTGAGCTTATTTCCTTAAATAGCAAGAAGTCCTTTGAAAGGAGTTGTGAGTATTTGTTTAGAAGAACAACATTTTCAGGACTGGCTCTCACGATATTCTTGACATTTTTTTTTCACTGTTGGTCCATTAAGATTGCAAGGTGCCTGCTGCAACTTCGAAACTCTTGTACATGTCAGGAAAGAAAGGGGATGGGAAAGCCACAACAAATGCATTCATTTACATGGATTATTAAAAGCAAATTTCTTCCCAGGATACCCCACAGATTTTTCTATAAGACAAGGAAAAGATTATGTCACATGGTTACTTATTTTGCACTAGCGGCTACTCATTTTGCACTGGTGGCTTCTCTGTAAGGAAGAAGGAGTAAATGGGTACTGGGTGGGCAACCAATGTCTTCATTTGTGTAAATGGTTTTGGGTACTTGGAAAGCTGCAACTAAGTTCTATACTTAATTCATAGTATCTTTCACCTAAAAAGTTTTTTATATTCTCAATTCCCTTCTTTGACTATAATTATGAGAGAGAATTGGTCTGTAACAATTATGACTCATTTAAATAAAAAAATGATTCAATGCTACACATAAAGGCACTTACATATAAGATGACTTGATGTTTTAAATTGACAATCAGGTTAATAAAGACCTTTTCCAGTACAAGATTAGTCAAGGAAGCTGGGAAAACTAAAGGAAACAAATAGACAAACAGCAACAAAATCAGAAGACCTAGATCTATTAAAAACTATAGAAAAAGTATTTTATCAGCATCAAGACAGAAAAAAAAATCTTACCTTACAAAAGAAATAGAAAATCTCTTGGCAAAAATTATTTTAAACACAATGGAAAAATACCAAGAAAATTTTGCAGGAGTAAAATGAGTTGAGTTCTATAGATGTTCTTTTTTTGTGACACTGATATAGAAATATAAGCTTAAGTATATGTGTTTAAAATATAAAAGAGGGGCTGCCACTAGAATCAAAATGTGCTATGCAATTTTCAAATTAGGAGAAGAAATAAAGAAGAATAAAAGTTTAAACAATAGTAAAAAAATATAGTGAACTTCTAAAAAAAACATAACATAGGTTGAGCTTGGGCTTCTAATTTCAATTAGTTGCTTCTGTCAAGAGCATCTACTAAGATGTGATAAAAAAGGAAAAGAAAAAAATCATCTATACGCCTGAGAGCTCTGAAGCTATTAGCACTTAAGGACATAAGAGAAGAGAGAAGTAGAACACGAGGTAACATTCTGTAAACCACTTTTCTTCTTAGGCTCTTTTCTCATTCTTAAGGGAAAGGGGGTTACTGCTAAGTGATTAATATTCACCCATCTTATAGAAAAGTAGAGATAATTATTGGAAGTGTTGTGACCACAAAGAAGACAAAATGTGAGAGGCCAAGATTCCAGAGGAATGGGCGGTGCAGACGGACTTGCCCAACCATGCTGGTTGTCTTTCATGAAGCATTTTCTGAATTTCAAGTTGTGGAGGATTAAGTTAAAAGCCTAAACAGAAAGCCACTGAAACGGAGGCCAAGTTCTCGCAGTCTCACTGTACTGAGGAGGCAAAGTGAAAGTCTAGGTCCCGCCAAGAACAGAGGCCCTAATAAACGCTCTGGTCCATCAGGCAGAAACCTTGCGGAGCTGCATCCTAGGAGCATAGATGAACCAAAGGGAGACAGAGACTTACAAACCGGCCACAATCAATGCTTGGTGAGAATGAGGGGCTGTGTTTCTATGTATGCCTAGAGCAGAAAATAGCACACTCACTCTGTACAAAAATGCAGTGTCAAGAATTTGATAAAAATTTAATAAGCACACCAAGGAAATATATAGATACATATGCATACACTATATATATAACTCTCTGTATGTGTGTGTGTATATATGTATCCTCTATGACTCATCCATTACATTTATGTCTTATACTTGAACAAGACATACAATAATGTTTATATATGTTTTATAATAAGCCCAAACTAGGAGGAAAAACAAAAAAACAAAAAAAACTAAACTGGCTGTCAGCCAGTCAGTTCAATCACTCAGTCATGTCTGACTCTTTGCGATCCCATGAATCACAGCACGCCAGGCCTCCCTGTCCATCACCAACTCCCGGAATTTACTCAAACTCATGTCCATTGAGTCGGTGATGCCATCCAATCATCTCATCCTCTGTCGTCCCCTTCTTCTGCCTTCAATCTTTCCCAGCATCAGGGTCTTTTCCAATGAGTCAGGTCTTTGCATCAGGTGGCCAAAGTATTGGAGTTTCATAGAAAGAATAAATATTTTTGTGATAGTCAGAAAATGAAACACTTTACAGCAATGAAATTACAAACTTGCTTCTTGTATTACCAAAGAGAATTTTCACAAAAAAAAAAGAAAATGAATTTAAAAAGCCAGATCCAAAGATTACATAGGGTTTCTTTTACACAAACCTCAGAAATCAGGGAAACTGCTATAGACGAAAGAGCTGTGGTTCCCTGAAATTCATCTGTTGAAAGCTAAGCCTCAACGTGATGGCATTTGGAGGCGAGCCCTTTGGCAGGTGATTAGGACCTGATGGGGGAGCCCTCAGGAATGGGGTTATGCCCTTATAAAAGTGACCCCAGAGAGCTTGCCCGTGTATCCACTTCCACCATGTGAGGACACAGTGAAATGGTAGACATAAACCCAGAAGTGGGGCCTCAACACACAGAATCTGCTGACACCCTGATGCTGGAATTCCAAGACTTCAGAACTATTAGAAATACA